ATCAACAATCCAGTCATCATCCTGACGTTCTCTGACCATCTTGGAATACTCATCCTCATCTATTTCATCATAAACACCTGTGAACTCCTCAACCTACAGTGAAGGTATACTGAGATTAACAGTTCCCATACCATTATTTATTAATACAAGTCATCCATAAGAACATAAAAGTTCACAAGAAATGCACCATTCCCTACACTGTTACATGGTTCACAATCATGATTCAGCTTAAGTTTCTTGTTAGGCAGTGAGACATTATCATTTGTTAAAAACATCACAGTATATGCAAAATCAAAATCTACTGAAGTACTGGCAGAGATTTCATTTGAAACTGTCTTAATTTATTGCTCATTTCATATTGAAAATAACCCTAGCAATGGAGACTTCAGACCGTTGGCTCCACTCCAAGATGAGCTCAATGAAAAGGAAGGTAATTTGATGGGCCCAAGCATAATGCAGAAGATGTTCTTCTGTGCCTCAGCGTAAATTTGCAAGTTAATGACCTTCACACTTCAGGGTTCTTTAGATTTATTCACCTCAATGTGGAGCTTACTTCTTGATGTTATTACTATTAATTGGGCAGCACTGATGTTACACTGCTGGATTTCAGCTCTACCAGTTAAATATTTAAATTTGGGGGTTTTTGTGGAATCACAGCATATCAATATTAATGGATTTCAGTCTTGTAACGCTCTGGAAGTCATTTAAAGTTTTAAAATCATTTGAAGTTGAAGAAAAACAAAAAAGTACTTCCTATTACAACATTAATTACATAATTAAATTTAAAAAGTTGGTCCTTCCCCGTGGGATAGTTCTCAAGCCATACCAAGCATGTTTGCCTTGCAGTCGATAGAGCTGTTTTAGTTTTGAAAACAGAAAGGAACAAATAAAACACCAGGGAGTAGCAAAACAATTACTGTTGCATTCTGAAAAAATACTCGCTTAAAAAAAACAAAAGCTGATCTGAAAGGCGGATTTTGTTTCCCATAACTTTTAGAGACATATAACGATAGTTAAGCATCTCTGCTCACATTCACTTTTTATTGAAAAGATGAGGCATCTTTACCTCATACTTCAGTTTTTCACCAGCTTTGGCTTTTTTCAGACGTTCCAGCGCTTCTTGCTGGCCTCTTCTAGACTTCTTCTCACGTCTAGAACGCGATGCTACAAAACTGCCAGACTCATGCATAGCTGCAATTCATTAAAACCAGGAAAGATAAGTTTAGTAATGAGCTGCTGTTATCTTTGGTACTTAGTGTTCACTGATGTATTAATAGATGCTTGCAGCTTTGCTTAAAATCAACACAGAGACCTACTTGGCGAAAAGCACAGTCACGGATGACTCTCAAAGAGCCAAATCTGGAAGAGGCATGGTCTCAGACAGTCAGATCAAAGAGATTTCATATTCAGCAAGGAGCTACCACCTAGATTTCTAAAGCACCTCTCCAATCTCATCAGCCATTATCTGAAAAGGATCCCCACTCTTTCCTTGGGAATTTCCAGCTCTTTCATTTTGCATGTCTCCATGACAACTCAGGGATAGGCTTAGAAAAGGCCTATATTGCTACAAAGCAGTAACGGGTTTTTTGGTGGTTTCACAATGTTTGAGTGCAGTCAGACCAAGACATGAGGAGTAATTTGCTCACAGCGTAAGGCTGATGCTCCATATCTTTTTACGCCTTCTTCCCTTCACAACGCTCCCCCCAGCAGGGTGACCTCCACTTCTCCCTTCATTTTGGGGAGGGACATTTATCTGACCCCCAGTCCAACTCACGAAAGCAGACAATTAGCCTAGGAACAAGGCTATGGGCTGTGTGATGAGCTGAATGCCCTGACTCCAGGCAGAGGAGACCCAGGGCTAGTGCAAGCCCTCAGGCCAGGCCAGGCAGCACAGGGGAAGGTCTGTCCCTCCCTGGTGACAGCAGGACGCCAAACTGTTAACAGAGCTTCACCGAGGCCATGCTGCTGAGCCGAGTAAGGATCAGTATCGCTAAGGGCTGTGATGGGCTAAAAAAGGGCATTTACACTGCTCGGTACCCGCTGAGGAACTGCAAGGATACAACACTTTGGGTGCATTTATACCAGATTTCCTGTCAACTCTTTGTATTCACTGTAAGCAAGCACCTAAGGCTACGCGCTCCTCCAAACACAAACGTATCTGCGCCCCCCGCTAAGACCACCTGCACCGGCCGGTCCCTCAGCAGTGAAGTGCCAGCGCCGCGCCAGGCGGCCTGAAGAGGAGGTAAGCCCACATACAGCCTTCCCGTCCGGGATAACCCGACCATGCGGCCGTGAGGAAACTGGTGCCGGGAGCGTGCGGGGCAGCGGGGAGCTGTGCGGGGCAGCGGGGGGGCTGCACCCACGGCCGGGCAGAACACCCCCACCCCGCTCCGGTAGCGCAGCTACAGCGCCGCGAAACCACGGCACGGCAGGGCAGGGGACACGGGATGCCGCCGGCAGCGCCGCTCAGGCCCCAGCGCTGGCCCCTACGGCCGGGTGAGGGGTCTCTCTCCGAACGCTGCCCGCCGCGCACGCGCGCTCCCCTCCTCCCCTTCCCGAGCGCTGCTGCCCCGTTACCCCCAGCCCGGTCCCCCACCCCTTAAACCCCAAGGCGACGGCGGCCGCCGCCTACGCCGCGAAGAAGGGGGCTGCCGCCCCGCGGGCCTCACCGTCCGGGGCCTGAGCGCCGCTCTCGGCCATGGCACCCGCGCGCTCCCCTGGCGCCAAGGCTCCCGAAAGTGGCGGGAGACGGGAGGCCCGCGAGTCCTCCGCCCGGCGCAGCAGCCAATCAGCGACGGCGGCGGCGGCTCCGGGTCCGGCCGCCACACGGAACTCCCCGAGGTCGAGCGCGGGACGGAAGCGCCGCGCGGGGCGGAGCCGCTTCCTGGGCGAGGCCTGCGGCGGCGGGACTGGGGCTTGGGGGAGCGGCTGCGGGGCTGGGACGGGCCCGGCGCTACGACAGCGGCTTTGCGGGTGCTGGTTTATCCTGGGGGCCCGAGAGGCCGGTGCAAAGCCACGAACTGGGACAAGAGTGGCTGGAAAGCTGATCGGCGGAAAACGACCTTGGGGTGCTTATTGATGGAGCTGAACGTGACCCAGCTTGTGCTCAGGCAGCCAAGAAGGCCAGCAGCATCGTGGCCTCTGTCAGAAACAGGGTAGCCAGCATGGCCAGGGCAGTGATGGTTCCTCCGTACTGGGCACTGGTGAGGCCGCACATGGAATACTGTGTTCAGTTTTGGGCCCCTCACTACAGGAGAGACAACTGAGGTGCTGGAGCAGGTCCGGTAAAGGGCAACAAAGCTGGTGGAGGGTCTGGAGCACAAGTCTGATGAGGAGCAGCTGAGGGAAATGGGGTGGTTTAGCCTGGAGAACTGGTAAGGGAGACCTTGTTGCTCTCTACACCTACCTGAAAGGAGGATGGAGGAAGGTGGGGGTCTGACTCTTCTCCCAGGTAACAACCTCAAACTGCACCAGGGGGTGTTTAGGCTGGATATTAGGGAAAAAAAAATACTGAGAGGGAGGGTGTTCAGGCGTTGGAACAGGCTGCCCAGGGCAGTGGTGGAATCACCACCTCTGGAAGTGTTCACAAACCAAGCAGATGTGGTCCTTAGTGACATGATTTTGCGGTGATCTTGGCAGTGCTGGGGTAACAGTTGGACTTGATGATTTTAAAGGGCTTTTCCAACCTGGCTGATTCTGTGTTTTTTGGGGGTTGACTGGGGTTTTTTTCAAAAGCATCAGTGCTGGCCATCACTACCCATAGATCCTGCACCATCATTTTCAGAATTTTCTGGAGGAGCATTTGCTGCTCATGAAAATACGTAGGCAGTGGCTCCAGCTTCTTACAAAGGCAGGGGGCACCATCACCGCAGAGCCACTTGAGAGCAAATAGGACTCTTCCTTACAGCTGATACGCTGCTGCAGAAGCATTAACTGGTATTATGGCCTGGGTATGCTATTTTCAACTATGTAGAAGAGAGAATTTTTATGGTTCTGAAATGGAAATCTCTTTTCCTTCTCCACAAGGACTCCTTCACATTCATAAGAGAGAAAGAATAAAGCTACCAGCTGTCAGTCCTAACTTACCTACACAGTTCCTAGCACAACACTACCTCTCACTGCTGAACCTAGTCTTAGATGGAAGCAGAACCACCCCTAGCCACTTGTGTCAGCTCCCTGGTGCCAAAAGACGAACTGCAACAGCTCAAATGCCCATTCCCCGACATTCAGGAAAATGAGACCCCTCTCAGCAGTATCTACTTACTAGCTTGGACATAGCAAACATGCAACCTTGCAAACACTGACAGCTGTAGGAAGAATATCTGTCTGACTTTCCGTCCTGTTTTGGGCTGGGATAAATTAATTTTCTCCCCATCCTACTGGGCAGCTCTGTGCTGTTGCCAGATTAAATCATGACAGCTACAGACTGCCTTTCTTTTGGTGCAGTGTATCCAAATGAAAGTTTGGTTTATTTCTTTTTTTATACATATGCATAAAACAAGATCCCGTTACTAAACATGATGTGGCACTCAAAATCAGAAGTTACTCCATTTTTAAGCTACAGTAAAAAAGCAACAATGTCATGAAATTCTTCAGTTTGAATTTAAATTAAGTGATACCACATTTCACATATTCCTAGCTTTCACATGCCTTGGAATTTTGAATTGACTAGGTTTTAATGTTTTTGATTAAAATAAAACAATACTCTGTCAGCTGTCATACAAACATGTTTGTCATCCAGGTGATGCCATGATTTGAGCGGTACGCAGTGATACAGATAATTTACCGAACTGCAGTTGTTGCCATTGCTCCATTGTGGGACAGCACAGGTCAAACAAAAGCCTTTTTCATGAATGTTACTTCAATCCTTACATTCATCTCTGGCCATAACAAGAATGCATCTGTTTCCTGCAGTACAGCATAACAAGCATGTTTAAATACTGAACAGAAAAAAAAAAGAAAAAAAAAAAGAAAAAAAAAAAGGAGGTATCAGGAGATGCACTTTGCTTTGGAAAAGAAAAACAATCCAGCAAGAGTTGGGACTTCCTTTGCTAAATGGCATTATCACAGCAGATGACTTTGAGCTGATCTTTAACCTCCCTTGGGACAGTCATACAAGAGCAAGTTGGCATGACCTTTGCTCAATTGTCTTTTAAGTACAAGAAGTGGGAATTCTGCTGTGCAGTTCAAGCCATCCAAGGATCTTGAGAGAGCAATAGCTGCAGAGAAAAGTGCAAGAGAAGCACAGTAACCAAGATGATAGGCAGCCAAAAACAGAGTACAGAAGAGGCAGCTCGGGAGACTCCCAGATTTCAACAAAAGGTGACAAAGATGTGTTTTTCCATATTGGGTTTTGTTTTTTTAGAGTTGTAATTTAAATGTTTAAGTTATGAGTAGAAAATATTATAAAATCATTGCAAGAGCTCCAAGATAATAGGAACAACATATAAATGGAGTATATCAAACCTAAGTAAAATGGACAAAATAATTAACTGTATCGAGGATAGTTATTTGTCTTTTTATGTGTAGAGCATGCTTGATCTGTCTCAAAGACAATAGGACAAAAAGTTAAAAGTCTTAGATTCAGACATTAGACATTAAATTTATGGTTGGTAATTTTTTTGATGCCTAAAAAAAGATCTGCTGGAACTAAGAGGGGTGGTATAAACCAGAATGTGACTAAACCATGAATTATAATGAGGTAGCAAATTCACCTGTACAACATCTAACTCAAAGTGCTTAAACATTATTATACTCTTGTTAAGTATGGACTACCTTTGAGGAGGATTGTGTGGGTGTGTGCTAGTGCTCAGGATGTGGATGTATATGCTCTATGTGTACATTTTCAGAAAACGTGGAGTATTTAATTATCTTAATCTTTACATTGGTCTGAATTAATGTTATCACTCAGTTTACAGTTTTTGTATCTAATATGATCCAGCTTTGACTACTTAATTTCAGCAGCTGCTTACTAAACTGTGCTATTGACATGACATTTCAACATGAATTTCTTAACTGTATGGAGGACTAAACTCCTAAAAGAGCACAGATTACATAAACCAAAACATCTCAAATTATTACTTACTGAAAGGTCTTTGTTTTCAGAACTCTTCAGAGGTAGTTAACTGATAAAAATATGAAGAAATAGATTTTTCACCATTTGCTTTTCAGTAAAGATGATGCAGACATTTGTGTTCAGAGGGTAGGTTCCTTGCTTAACAGACCTGTAAATGCCTTTTATTTATTGGACAGCTCTTTTTAATTTCCTGCCTGAGCTACCTGCCAACATCAGGATGAAGAGTATAAAGTTGCTGTTAGGTTGTTAAGGTTCTGAAATGCAAACATGAAATAGAAACTAGAACACTGTGTTGATTTTCCCCTCTTCTGACAGAAAAAAGGTCTATGGAATGAAGATGCTTTAAAAAAAAATAAAACCACACACACATTAAATTTTGATTATGGTTAAAATTACAGCAAGTCCTAGTAACTCAACCAGAATTGGTGGAATTACACTAATCAGAACGTAGAGCAGAATTTCATCGCCTGCTTGCGTAATACAATATTCCTATTCAAACCTAGAAGAAAAGTACAAAATATTACAATGTAAATTAAATAGGGAAGACAAGTGAGAGCAAACTCACAGAGAATGAGCCCTCACATAATTATAATGCCTAGGAATTAAGTCTGATGCCAGTGGTATTCAAGAGCATACAGTTATTGCCACAGCATGAAAGTCTCTGTTTTAACTACTTTCATCGCTCTCTTCTTACAATTGCACAAAAATGAATAATAATTTATAAGCAGAACATTATTACAGAGAGGCTGTTACATTTCAAGACCTGGCTGCAGATCAAATGTGCTTCCAGGGGTGAATATTCTCAGCATTCACCATTTCATGTCCCTTCAGCAGAAAGGAGAACAGCATCGTGAGACAATGCAAAGTCTAGTTGTAATCCTGCCAACTCTCTGTTGCTGGATTGATGCTGGTGAAGGTGCTACTCACATTGTGGAAAGCAACAAGGGCCATCTGCTCCATGTGGGAGGGGAGCCCAGCATGGCAAGTCTGGCAGGACAGTCAGGCCTCATCCCCCAGCCCCTACAGACTGAGCAGGGCAGCCCTGGGAGAGGACAAAGGGTCAGCTCAGAATCCGGAGCAGACAAGTGCATGGTGATGAGACAAGTCTGATGTCAAACTAGAAATGCAACTCAGGGTCAGGTCCAGGATCAGACACAGCTCAGTGATCACCAGGCAAGTCCATGGTGGTAAGACAGGTCTAAAGTCAAGCCATGAAGTCAGCCCGTGGGTGGGGACCAGAATCAGACCTGATTATGGTAGCCAGTGTCAGACATGGCCCAAACAAGTTCATAGTGACAAAGGTCCAACATCCAGCTAGGAAGCCAGGGGCATGGCTGTGTCTGAGCAGGAGACCAGCAGTCCTACAGCTCAGCTCTGGCAAGGGCCGGTGGCACAGGCTGGAACTCAAACAGCCACTGAGCAGAGTGCAGTTGAGGCTGGTCAGGGCCCTGGCAGCAGCTCCCGTTCCCAAACAGAAGGAGTTTGCTATAGGGTGGTTTAATTGGTGTGAGTTGACATTAGGCTACTTCAAGAACATAGACCCAGGGGGAGGGATTAAGGCCTAGGAAAGGCCCATGACAGAGGGGACTTGCAGGTGGCAGGAACCCTCTAGGCCAGCCCCCAGAGGCTGTTAGGGCTCAACTCAGGAGCTGGGGCTGGGCAGGGGGGCAGCGTGGTGGGGACACCAAAATCCGGGGTCAGGCTGATAACTCAGGAGGCATTGACAGAGAAGACCTCACACAGCCATGAGCCAGGCACCACTGTGAAGTGATTTATATCCAAGCCCAAATTTGCCTTGTTTTCATGAAAATAGAAAGCAGCACACCACAATCACAATTGCCAAACCTCCAAACAAGTACAGAATTTCATGAGGCTCTATTTCTCTCCATTGTGATGCAGTTTTAAGTCAGAAGACTTTTGCAGCCTCTCTCATGCAAAGAACATTTTAAATACAACCGCTGTGCTGTACAGGTGCTTGAGATCCCCTGAAGCACTTCAGACATTTGATGATATTCTTTCCAAGGGCTGCAATGCATTCCAGACCCTGCTTTTGCAAAGGACATCAGAATGACAGAATATCTTTGCTTTAATAAAGCAAATGTTACTGCCCTTAGCCTGGAGACTTCAGTGAGTATTTACAGACTTCTCTGTAGCAGTGAAGTCACTGGACAAACTGTGAGCAACTAAGCCAAAATACCTTGTTAGTAAGTGGCTTGAATGTCAGTTGTTACACTGTGCTGCAGGTATCAGGATCTATCGCTGCTTTACTGTTAGAAGGATCAGAAAGCACTCCTTGTTAAGTAATTGTGAAATGCATGTAATTTCCCTGCACAAGTAGACTGAGGTCTTTAATGGTTTATCCACAATTTCCAATGAGAGTTTGCTCCCTCTAGGGATGTTGCCTTAAGGTAAGGATGCAATTAGTGTACACTAAACAGCATAGCTACGAACCCAGGTGTAGTACGTTTGTTGAAGTACGCTTCTTGCTTATCTTACTCCATCAAATATAGAGAAGAGACTCCCACTGAGGGAAGTGGACGTGAATTCTTGTTCAGATTTCAACCATGCTGGTCCACCAGTGCTAGCCTGATACAATCAGTTTAACGTGGGTAATATGATAAAAGCATGACGCAGGATTTATAGGTGCTGGTGTCTACAATGAATTGAAGTTTGTTTAGTTCCAGTTGTGGGCACTGATCAGTGCTCCACTAAGATATTTAAAATATATGAATGGCTAGATAGAAAAAAAAAAAAAAAAAGAGCAAGGAGATGTTTAAAAATGAGGGCTTGAAGATACAGAAGAATGCATACAGAATATTTGTCTCTGTAATGTTCAGCTGCCTGTGGATGTTAGAGAGGGATGATACTTTCAGTCTGAGAAAGAAGAGGATTTAAATGTAACACCTAAACATAGAATCATAGAATAGTTAGGGTTGGAAAGGACTTAAGATCATCCAGTTCCAACCCCCCTGCCATGGGCAGGGACACCTCACACTAAACCATGCCACCTGAGGCTCTGTCCAACCTGGTCTTGAATACTGCCAGGGATGGAGCATTCACAACTTCCCTGGGCAGCCCATTCCAGTGCCTCATCACCCTCACAGGAAAGAACTTCTTTATATCCAAACTTCCCCTCTTGAAGTTTTAACCTGTTACTCCTTGTCCTATCACTACAGTCCCTGATGAAGAGTCTGTCTTCAGCATCGTTGTAGGCCCCCTTCAGATACTGGAAGGCTGCTATGAGGTCTCCACGCAGCCTTCTCTTCTCCAGGCTGAACAGCCCCATCTTTCTCAGCCTATCTTCATACAGGAGGTGCTCCAGTCCCCTGGTCATCCTCATGGCCTATCCTGTATTTTTCATACTTTGAGAGTTAATTTCTTCAGTTTGCAAATTGAAATTCCTTGTAGGGAAAAAAAAAAAAAAGACAAAATACCACATATCAGACAGAACCTTCATAACAGCTAAGATTTTACCCTGTTTGCCATCTAGTCAGTTTAGACCCTGGAATTAGGGTTAAGAGGATTGGGATCATGTTTTCCTGGCTTCTTTGTATGTACTGTTAATTTATGCACCCTGGGACATCCGATGTCTATTCAAGCCCAAGGAGCTGTTGCCAGGAGCTCAGTCGTTAAAGGCAGTGGCTATATGTCCCAGTTACTTCTGAAGAATTGACAGGAGGATGCCCAGGAGACCAGGCTCAGTCTGGTGCAGGATATTTGGTTACATAAAAGAATTAGATGCACAAAACTTCCCACCCATAACTATTGCTCCCCTGTTCTTTTAGAAGTTGTCTGACTTGTGAGGATTTACAGGAGACCATCTGCTGAGCTTCTCCAGTCAAACCTAATTTTTACTTATTTATTTGAGAGTAAAGAAGACACACTCCAGCCTTTTGAAAGCCCATTTTGCCCCTGCAGCTAGAAGAAGACACAATTCAGGATAGCTTATTCAATATATCCAGTACATTGACTAAGATCATCAGAGCCAGGATGGCCCATGATGAATTCCATTTGGATAGGCATGACAGACCCCACAACCTTCCCTCTGCCAGAGTACAAGACAAGGAGCTACTGGGGAGGGACCAGCACAGGGACACAAAGGTGATCAGGGGTTTGGAGCATCTCTCTGATGAGGAGAGTTTGCAGGAGCTGGGTCTGTTTAATCTGGAGAAGACTGAGAGGGGATCTCATTAGTGCATGTAAATATCTCAAAAGCGGGTGCCAGGAGGATGGCACCAGGCTCTAC